ATATTTTATTACTATAATGTAACAGTAGTATGACAGCTGAGACTTGAAGCAGCTGCATGAAACATTATTATTGTCTATTTGGACATTTCTGGAAACAAATATTAAATTTATGGTTTTCTAAAATAAAATTATATAAATAAATATACATTATATTTAATTAAAATGTATAAAAGTGCTCGCTCGTATTTATTAATATTGATAAATTACGAGGAAATATTCCTATGAAATTTTCAAAGATTTATTGATATTATTAAAATTGAAGGTTACACATTAATTTATGGGAGATTTTTTCACGTTTAAATTTGGATGCTTTGTTCCTCCACTTGGAAAGTCTGTGTAATGGAATTTTATAATTAATTTTCTGTTAATTTTAAATATATCTTTAACACTTTTAGTATAATAAATTCTTTTAAACTATTTTTCCTTATAATTATCAAGTTCATCCCCACTTAAAATCCTTCCAGGTGCATACCTGGAAGGATTTTAAGGTAAGTGTACCATGAGGTAAGTGTACCATGAGCTAAGTGTACCCGAAAGGATTTTATCTTATGGTACACTCACCTTAACCTAAGTGTACCTAAAAGTTTACAGCTTTCACCTTGTTGTAAGTGTATTCTCATCTTGAATAAAAGCGAGAGTAAAATAGTATTAAAACATCCCAAATTTATTAAAATTCATAAACTACATGATGCTACCTTACTCTTTTCAGCTACAATCCCCCCCTGTAAAGCACCCATTCCCAAAATTACGTAACACATCCTCCATCAATTGTACTAAGGAATAATACAAGGCAAGGGGCACGGAGCGTAACGTTACTTTATTGATTACACGCGTAACTCTACACGGTTGGCTATGAGTTACCCGTGGGGGTTGGGAAACCTAGCATTACGTAACGTTTCTGTAAACGCCCACCCCCTTGTAACGAAATTGTAACAATTACCTGCATACCCACCCACGTACGCGTTACGTAATTTACGAACGTGTAAATATTTCTGAGAGCGATTTAAAGTATTTAAAGTTATATGGAAGTACAGTTTAATTAATATAGGCCTACACACACACACACACACACACGTGTACTGTACATATAGAGGCAAAGGGGGTCTCTCTAACCAAGCTCTCAAGGCCATATAAACGGTTTTATCCCATATTAAACTCATTGTATTATATATGTATACAGTAAAACATGTCTAAAACGTAACGTGAGTAAAAGACTGATCGATTTTCCGTTTAAAAAATAAAAAAAGCATTGAAAACGGAAACCTGCCAGACCGGAAACACATTCGCTACGGGCGACTCCGGCTTACACAGGTTTTACTATACACTAATACACATTATTGGGTTTAGAAACTTTTAAGGACCTTCCACAGCTTGTACGAGGTTCGAACGGACCCTTTCCCCATTTTTTTTTTTCGAACAAATACGTAGAATATTTAATAAAAATCAACGTCAAAGAATTATCTCCTATTAGTAAAATAATAATAATAATAATAATAATAATTTAAAGGGGATAGAATCAGCTACGAGTTATAAGTTTTCCGTTGTCTCCCCGAAAAGACCCCCTCCTCGGGACTTTTATAGTAATTATTTAAAATATGCACGCCGCTATATTTAACTCGTATTACTCAATACGAACGAGCACTCATCTTCCCAAATTTTACGGTAAACAGTAGTGTACAGTACTTTCCGAACTCGCACTTTATCACGTTTTATCGCCAACAGGTACAGTACATACACGAAACTAGCGTATTTATCAAACAATCGATATCTGTTGACTTGTATGATGCAAAATTAATAAAATTATTTCTAGGAAAGTCGATTGTACAACATCCTCGTTTCTCCGAAGTATCGTCCCATTATTCGGCTCGGCGTTAATTACCGCGAAATATTCTCGAGATTAATGGTTAATTCGCTAGATGAGTCTCGAAAATAAACAAGGAAAACACCATTACGTGAGGGGAGAAAAGTCGTGTGACGTCCGTCGATTTCGTCAGCCGTGACGCAACACCCAATTACGTTTTACGAAACACCGGCCGTTTCCTAAAAGCGCGCATTTTTTCCCGGTAAAAATAATAATAATACGGCCGACGTCACAACACGACGTTGATGATAATTAAATTGCGTGGATACGAGTGGCATTGTAACAACAAGGGCACGTGACAGGCGGTAGAATTTTTTTTTTTTTTTTAAATAAATAAAAAAGGCCCGTAAACAAGTTTTTCCGCCAGTTGCGCAATTTCGAAATGCGTAAGCCGTGTGACATCATGCGTTGACGTAACAGTGCAATATTCTGCTTCGATCACCTTGCGCAAAGCCTTTCCGTCGTCAGACGAGCAGAAGCTAGGGTCGCGATGCCACCGTACAATCAGAGGATGGAAAACGCCGAGAGGAGGACCGTCCTGGTGTCACCAGACAGCGCAGGAGGTAGGATAGGATCCTTTATAACATTATTACTTATACATCCGAGCCATATAACATTATATAACTCGTATCCGTCCAGGTTACTTAACTGACACATGGTGTGTGTGGTGTGTGTGTGTGTGGGGGGGACATCTACCGATCGGCAAACTTTAACACGCCAAAAGTAACGTTAGAAAACGATAAACTGGAATAATTTATTCGATTTTCCGGGCATTTAGATGCGAATATTCAATTTATTTTTCACTTATATATTTTGGATCGGTTCCAACATGACGAAATCTTTCCGTGAGCCGCGCGTAACAGACATTTTTCGTGCGTGAATACACAGTTGTAGGAACATTTTACATATATACACAATAAAACCTGTGTAAACCGGAACCGGATATTTGGCAAGTCTCCGTTCCGAACAGGTTTCTTTCTTTCTTTTTTTTTCCACGCTCCGTTCCGTAGAATTTATCCGCTTAGGCAGGTTTCCGTCTTGGACAGGTTGACTGACTTACTAGCTTTCATTTCACCGTAAATTAAGCGTAATTAAGTTTTATTCTTCATATTTTAATTGATAATTTATGTAAGTAGCGAGTAACTTTCTAATTTTAATACAAGCGAAACAACTGTTATACAGAACGTGCCGAAAGATTTTTCGTTAATTTAATTAATGATAACGCTAAGATCTAGCGAATATTTTATTACTGTAATCATTTTTTTTAATTTAAATTTATATATATATAAATGTCACGATGAATGTACCAATTAATTGACTCGTCATACGTCTCTTAATCATAGATACCGCAATACTGACTAACGCATTAAATGCCTAATTTCGTTTTCTAGAAAAGGAACTGCAACTTATTACGTGTAATAAAGTGTAATTTTATATATTTAAACATAGCATAAATACCATAGTGTAACCTAATCCATGTCTTTTTGTGTACACAGTAGGCTACGTACAGTAAAACCTGTTCGAAACGGAAAAAGACCGTGCGATTCCGATTTACACAGGTTTTATGTATATGTATAAGCTATGTATGCGTATATAAGCCTAAAGATAAACCACCAAACAACGGCCATTGAGGGAAACATAAAAATGTACCGTTGTTTGGAGATACATTATGCTTTTAAACATAAAAATACTCGAAAATATGGCTGCTATTGCAGGTTCGACTGTATATTATCGTAAACATACACTCACGTTTCGTGTATAAAATGTAATACATATATATATATACACGTACACTACAGAAGGGCATGCCAAACGAGCCGTATTCTGTACCGAAGCTGTATTTCGTATCAGTTGTACAATATGTATACATGAACACTAATTTAGCCACCGTATATAATACAGTAAGGGTGTGTACATGAGCCGAAGTTTGGCCCTATACACTATCTTACACGCACAGAATTAGTATTACGCTGGTTAACAGATAAAATTTACAGATAACATTTAAATTTCGAGTGTTTAAAAAGTGTTACGTAACTCGCTAAACTCGAGTGTTTTATTTTTTAATCTTAATTTTGCAGATAGCAGCAACGAATCTTCCGTATCGAACGAAATGGTCAGCAAACGGAACGGGTACATGCCAGCATTTTGCATTTCGTCACCACAGTATATTATTCCCGTAAGCATAAATTCTCAGGAGAGGTACGTCCAAGACAGCGGGGTTCCTGCGAACTGGCTGAACAAAACACCAGTAGACCAACTCATCAAAGTTCCGCGGACGAATCAAGACGAAAATCTAGCGTGAGTATCGTTTTAAAATCGGAATTCGCCGGCGCTATAACGGGGTAGGGGCTCGAGAAACCAGCAAAACGCGCCGATGGGTTTTTCGTGGCATCGCCGGTTTACTGGGTTGCAGCGAGGTTTCCCGAACTCGCCCCGTTAAAGCTTGTGTATAAAATCCCAATTTAATTAAGATGATAACGCTTTTACAGTATCGTCCTATCGAATAAAAAGAAAAAGCCTCAGCCATTTCCGGAAGAATGTAAGGACAAACTGTATTGGGAGAGAAGGAGGAGAAATAACGAATCGGCGAAGAAATCGAGAGCGTTGAGGAAAATTAAAGAGCAGCAGACATCGGCTCGGGTTCTGCGACTGGAACACGAGAATTTACAATTAAAAACTGAAGTTTCCCTACTAAAACAGGAACTGGAAAGACTCCAGAAGTTAGTTTACGCAAAAACTACAGTCGAAAGCTGATGAAAGCAGTATTAGGAAATTTCTATTGAATGCCTCCGACCAATCATTTCCATCGAAAGAAAATTACGGAAATTATTTAAAAATATATATATATACACATATATATTTTTTTCTTTTCTTTAAATACGAATCATTATACACCAAATAAAGCATTGTTCACTGCAGATTTAAAAAAGAAAAAGATAAATTTTTCGGGGTATACCGAAACTCCGGTGACGACGCGAAATTACGCTCAAGTATTGCACTCGATTGTGTAAATTTACGGTTAAGGGGCCGCGTCATAATTACAATTAAGCATTATTATTATTTTAATGAGAATTTAGTGTTAAACAACCTTTTAAACTGTAACCGAGGGGGAAAAATTCGTGTAACTTTTTTTTTGCTCAACAATTCTTGTAAGCCGCTGCCATGTCGGGAAATCATTATACATACGCGTTACGGAAAAGTTTATACACGTTTTCCTGTTTTGAAGTGTGATGAATTAGGAGAATTTTTTCGATATTTTAAAATAAAATAATAAAAAAAATCCACGTATATTCTGTCGTATCATTTCGTAAACGGCGCGAAGAACCGCAACGTGTAATTAAAACGTGGCCGCTTTCGTATGCAAATTCGAAAGATCGATTTCGACTGTTGAAGACAAAATGGCGTTAGCGATAAGGAGAAGATTTCAATTAAGATAATTACGAGTGAATTTTAAATTTATGACGTGCCGTAAAAGCTTTCAGCGTGGCTCTCGCGACTGCCAATTTAGTACTCTCCCTCGTCGCAACACCAGGAACGTCACAGGGGTAATAATATAGAGTTGTATTTAGTCTATTTTCTAGCTAGCACTAGGCTTGTTACTGCAATCCAAGTGTAAAGTTAACCAACAGCACCCTAAGTTTACGTGATGAAAGCACGTGGGCACTCTCGTGGTCGGTGGGAGGTCTCGACCGCATCCTGGACCGCGTTGCTACTGTTCTGTACAACACTGGATCACGCTTAAAACCGTCGATATAAATAACTTTCCAGTCGATTACACAAAATCCGCGATTAAGTTCAACGAGAAATGTACATTGACACCATTCGAGCGGTAAATATTTGTCGTAAGAGAGATTAAACTATTTATCAAACCAGGGGCCACTCTGGTACATCATCTTAGCATTTTCTTTTTTCTTCTTCTTATAAATAAATATTACGTCGTCGTACTTAATAGTACCTATCAATTTTCCCCTTCCGACTCTACCACACGCGTGCAGTTTTTATAATAAAGGCATACAAGCATGCCTTTATTATATGCAAGCGAGCTGCCCTTCAGTTTATCACGGCTCTAAATCGCCTTAACTGTCAAGAAAACCCCTTCGAACAAAGCAAAACTTTGATTAAATCATTTTTATGTGCATTAAATCAATAACTAGAGGAGAGGCATCGGCGCGTTTTAGCTTGGTGGGGCCCAGGAGAATTCGAATTAGCGGGCCCCACGTACAGTATTGACTCCAGGAAAAGATTTTTTTGGGGGGAATATCCTCCTATAAAAAAAATTGATTTGGGGCCCTTTTTGTACGTGCGATAACGCGCCAGTGTTCAGAGGTGTATATCGCTGGAGGATTTCGCGTGGTTTAGAGACAGAGGATAGCATTTTTTCGCCGTATTTAGGCGCCATTTTTCCTCGTCTAGAGCTGGAAGTAATAAAATACGAGAAATACTTTCGAACGGATATTATGGGCATGATTAACACACGCCTGTGACTAAGCTAGCTACTTTAAATGTGATATTTGTACAGCGCTCGCTTGGTCCAATACTTTGGTTAGGAGCCAAAGTAACTGTTTGCGCGATTTGCCATCGTGTTTGCCATTCCAAAAATTATTGCGCGTTAAAAAAAAAATAATAACGTATAATAAACCTTTACGGTCGGAGACAAAAATCAGATTTCAAGCGATTTCAAAACACAAATCGAACCATATGACTTATCACAAATATTTAACCGTTTCACATTCCAAGAGTTCACGCGCCCACAAATAACCTAGCAGCATAAACAGGGAGGGATCCACTAGACCGGGCCCCTCTTAATTCTTCATATAAATTAATTATTTTTTTAAATCTGACGCGATACACGCTTTTATACACTACAACACACAAAAGTTTACTCTACATTCACACGCTAATCCGGTAGTAGAGGGTTGAATGTAGGTTTGAACGTTCTAATTCGGGCCCCCCTGATATCGTTAATGTCCTCGTTGATATCTTATTCTACTGTTTATTCTAAACAGCAACTGTTACTTCTATCTAAGGAAAAGAATTAATTAATTTCCTGCAGATTTTTCCCTTTGTTCTAAAAATTTCCTTGTTAATGTTTGAAATATGTTCAAGTGGAACAAACAATAATAAATTACACTTCAATGGCGCATATTAATATTAAAATACTCAAAAGAATTGTAATTTTTCTATTAGATGTACTGTGCATTAAATTTAAGGTTTATAGTTACAGTAATCACAATAGAAAACAATTAAGAAGCTTTATAAACATCCTGCTAATGCATGCATACCTGATCTGATCAAACAATGCTATCTTAAAATGATATTTTCATCCTCAACCTCTTAGTAACAAGTTTTATTTTTTAGATCTTTAGCAATTATTTAAAAAATGAATAATTCAGCAAAGTATGCGGCTAAACAATGATGATCCGGACAGATAAGATCCCTCCGCACCCAAAATTTAATCTTATACACGAAAAGCATGGCATGAAAGCCATAATTCTTTTGATAAGTGGTGAAAAAAATCTGTTTTTATTGAATTTATTCATATATTTCTATGGCTTCTACCCACATATTTGTGAGTAGGGGCTCTCTTTCAATCATATCTGAAAACATTACTGCTTTCACATCCTAAGTACTACAGAGTAACTAACTTTCTAAGGAATAATAATGGCAGAATTAATTTCTTTGAGGAAAAAAGATTCATTTAAAATAATCTTAGCCTTGTAACTTACAGTGAATGGTCCATAATTACAGTTTACAGCATTTTAATATACAGTAATTACTCTCTCTCTAGGATTTATCAAAGAAAAAAATATGCAATTCTTAAGGAGAGATACTGATTTGTAACCAGAACATATGCAGATTCAATAAAATTATTTTCATTATTTAAGATCTTAGCTTCACTCAATAAAGGAAAACTGTGTGTTCAAGGTTACTGATAAACTTGACTTTAATTACATAATATTAGCTGATTATGGAGATTAATTATAACACGATTGTATGATAACGCACAAACTTTACACAAAAAAATTAATTAAAATTATTATTTAAACATTTATAATTTGAGGTTATAACGGCTATCTTAGGGTTTGTGTTTGCACGTAAGCAAATTACTTCTGAATTAAATTGTTCTAACCGATATTTTATACCTAACCTTGCTTATGATTGGACGAATATTCTATCAAAAATATATTTATACATCAAATTAATTACTTTTTTAATTTTATAAAGTTAAATGTATAAAATTTATATCATCGTGCAGATATTTTTCCCCCATTAAGTAGGTTGATTATCAGGTTATTTATTGTAATTCAATTACAATTACAAAATGTGCATGATTGTAAGTAATAAAAGACCATTAATGTATAGATTATGAAATAAATTCTTGAGAGAATAATAGATATGTACGTTTTTTATAGTAAAATGTAGAAAATTTATGCTTACTAAGGATCATCGGTTCCCTATCGTTTATTATGCAACATAATATTAAACTTGAACATAAACAAGTGTTCTGCTTTACGGGCGATGACAAGATTTCAATGATAAATTATTGCTTGAAGTTTTCGGAAAAGTATTTTTAGAAATAGTAAAACAGTTTCAAGAAGTAATATTTGATGAAAAATTATAAGAGTTTTAAGACATACTTGAAAACTTTAAGATAATTTCAATGAATCCTAATATAATTTGTTATAAGTGTTGATTTGTATATTATAAATCTTTCAGACTTCCTCTTAAAGACCTTATCATCATATAATTAAATCTAAACACAGGAAAATCAAATTTTGTAAAAGCAAATGACATCAATTTTTCAATAATTGGCAGCAAAAATAATAATAATAATAATAATAATAATGCCGTATAAACTTTAATTTAATTAATAGCTTCTTAGCTTTCCTCAGTTAGAAATGTCATCATTATTTATGAATAAAATAACAACCTTTTAAATAAAGAAATTTGTATCATAAATAAAATGAAACCAAAATTGTCTTAAAACAATAATAAGAAATCTGAATGAAAAGTATCACTAACAAGAAAAGTACCCAGAAATTAATGAAACTTCTAGCAACTAAGGCACTTATATGAGGTGCATTAAAGTTTGGCTTCTTAAGGTGGGAAATATGTTTACGTGTGTGGCCCATGAAGAGTTCTACCATTTTTCCTATGATTATACAGCGTGTTTCTTGTGAATTAACTCATTGCTACAATTAAATAAATTATACTTTGTCATACAACGTACAGTAATTGTAAGCAACACTGCTGAGAGCAAGATTATCAAGTTACGTACATATGCCAGAAAATCCGCTTATAGTAATCATGCCTGCGGTTTGGACCGATGCGAGATTAGGAATCCAAAATGCATTTTCAATATTAATAAAGCACATATTCTTTACTTGACTGCCGACTCCGTTTCATCACTTAACTTACAAGATGCGTTAAGTCTGTACAATTAGCCAGCCCTGGACTACACTAAAAAGCATTAATCCAGATAAGAAGCAAGAATATTTACAAGGTAAGCAATAAATTTGTACATCATACCATTCTCAGTGTATGAGTCAGCCATTTTTGAATTTGAACATTTGAATAATATACGTACGTATCTCGGAACAGAAAATTGGTACCGATATTCACTATAGGAAGTAATCTTTCGAATAAGTGACTTTTGGAAGTTTCATTATTTTCTTTGGCATTTCTCTTGTAAGTTTTTCCTCCTTAATAACATTAGAATAGTGGGAAAAAACCCACATTCAATACAGTGCAAAAAATCAAGAGAGTAGTCCAACTGTGTTAATTAATTAGCCAAGTTCCAGACAATTAGTTAATTTAGCTTTATCGTTTAATTATTAACGAAATTTATACTAAATCACACAATTTATGTTTAATTTACTTTAATAATAATAATCATTTTGATGATAATTACTACTACAACATGACAACACTACTATATTTATATTTTGATCATTATTATTAAATTCAAACTTCACAATGAATGAATGTACATGCAAAAATTTGTATAGATCTAAACAGATCTGAACACCATCACTCTTAAAAAGATTTTCAAGAAAAAAATTTGGATGATAATTATAAGTAAATGAATTTTTTACAGTAAAGACCATTAACAATATATTTAAAATCAACTATAATTAACAGGAACTACCGAAAGACCAAGATAGTTAAGTCAGCCAACTGCTCTGCGGTATCCACTCGGGTGTTCTAGCTTCTCATTTTTCATCACCCGTGCATTGCCTTCTCGATACGGTCGAGTACATCACAGATGCGGGTTTCACCGTCTTTCC